GCAGGAGAATGGCGGGAACCCGGGAGGCGGAGCTTGCAGTGAGCCGAGATCCGGCCACTGCACTCCATCCTGGGCGACAGAGCCAGACTCCGTCCCCCCACCAAAAAAAAAAGAACCACGTCACAACAAACTCATTACCCTTCCTCGCTGAAGTTCCACACCCACGATGCGCTTTTCTCATCACAGCTCTGTGATCCAGACTAACTCTGAAAAGAGCCGAACTCCTATGCCTTTGAAAAATGGGGTATTGGACCAGACTCCAAAGACAGGAGCTACAGTTGTGCATGGCGTCAGCGCGGGAGCCTCTTGAGGTGGAGGAGGGAATTATGAAAAGAGAAGAAAGGCAGTGAGCGGGGAAGGAAGTCAGGAATGAAGGCTTCCGGCCACTGGACTCAGGAGAGGAAGTTAGCGCAGAATAGATTCCTGGAGAGTGGCTTTTCCTGGGAAGTCCCAGAGTCTCCACAGGGTGTTTCCTTCTCTACACAAATAGACACTTTAACATCTGTGCATGTCTATGTCTATCTACATATATTTATTTACAGAGAATTAATGAGTATGAGATGGTCCAGAAAAAAAAAAAAAGAGAGAGACGGGGGATTGTAGTTATTTAAGTAGCTGCTTTAAGGTTATTTTTAATCAGGCATTTGTATAATGTAATTATGGCCAATGAGCTTATAGGAGAAAAGTGCAGTTGAAAAAGGAAATTAAGCAAAGATAGAACAGATAAATGATGCCTGACTGTTTTTCACCATTTGGTCCGTATGTAATTAATTTTCCTCATTCCTCCCATAATCAGGCATCCAGAATTATCTCTACATTTTTAAAGGGCTCAGGTTTGCTACTAGTAAAAGATGATGCTTCAGAACAGATTGGTGAGTTGGTTCAGATGTCTCCATAATGGAAACACAGTCGTAAAAATGCCATCACCTTCACATTGTGAGAAGATAAAATGCAATGCTCATCACGGATGAATGGTTACTCTCGTTCTGTCCTCGAGCCACAATCAATTGTACATCATTAAAAAGACACAAAATCTTTACTAATTAGCTTTTATGATTATATTGTTATTGCATTGAGGCTTTTAAAGCATTGGAAATCAAGGAGATAGGATGCCCACAGAAGAGAATTCTGTGGCAAGGGAGGAAAATACAGTACATCACTCATGTCATCTTCAGAAACTTTCACTGTATACCATCTATAATTACCATCTATAATTTTTATCTCAGTTCACTCTTCAGATTAATATTTGTGGTTAATGAGTGACAACTGGTAAGGAGAGGGAGAAGAATATTGAGTGTACCTTCACACCCGAAAGAAATTTAGCTGTTGAAGTTATCTAACAAGAATAATTGTTCATTTTCTCTTTGCTTGAAATCTTCAAGACTGCTGTTATAAATCCCACCTACACTTCCTTGTATATTGTTCTTCTCTAAGTGTAAAAAAATACAGTTCATCTAGTTAAAAATAAGTTAGAGCCATACCTTCCACCAGGATTAATTTCAAATGGATCAAACACTTTAAATGAAAAATACAAAATAATAAATTTATCAGAAGGAACCATGGGAGAATTCTTTTATGATATCAGAGTGGGGAAGACTTCTTGAAACCATCAGACAAAACCCAAAAGCCGTAAGAGAAAAATTAGATAAATTCAACTACATTTTGAAAAATTCTGCTTGGCAAACTAACATACAGAACAAAAACACCATAAGCAAAGTAAAAAAATAAATGACAAACTAGAAAAAAACATTTGTAGTTCATTTCATAAGCCTGCTATTGAAAATATATATCAAGAGTTGCTATAAATCAAAATGACAAAGACTAGTAGACCAATAGAGAAACAGGCAAAGGGTATGAATAATCATTTTACTGGAAAAGGTATTGAAATTATTTTAAAACATGTGAAAAGATGCATTGCATACTCCTAATAAAGCAAATGCAAATTAAACTCCATCATGATACCGCTTTTTGATGATCAGATTGGCCAAAGTCAGAAAATTTGACAACAGATTGTGTCAATGATGGGGTGAGAAACAGCCTCCCCTCTCCCATTGTGGATAGGAGCATAAATTGGCACAAAATCTATAGAGGGCAATTTGGCTATTTATTTATTTATTTATTTTGAGATGGAGTCTTGCTCTGTCACCCAAGCTGGAGTGCAGTGGCACGATCTTGGCTCACTGCACCCTCCGCCTTCCTGGTTCAAGGAATTGTCCTGCCTCAGCCTCCTGAATAGCTGGAATTACAGGCGCATGCCACCATACCCAGCTAACATTTGTATTTTTTTAGTAGAGGCGAGATTTCACCATGTTGGTCAGGCAGGTCCCGAACTCCTGACCTTGTGATCCTCCTGCCTCAGCCTCCCAAAGTGCTGGGATTACAGGCGTGAGCCACCGCACCTGGTAAATTTGGCAACTTCTAACTAAATGTCAAATGTACCATTTTCCTGATCCAGCAGTTCCACTTCTAGGAATTTATCTTACAGACACATTTGTTCAAAAAGAGTTATTTAAAAGTTATCTATTCCTGCCCTGTTTGTAGAAGCAAATGGTAGAAAACATCTTCAACACCTGTCAATAAGGAACTTGTTAAATTATGAACCATCAATTCAGTGGAATACTATGATTCAGTAAAGTAAAAATAATGATGTTCTTTACTGATTTGAAAAAATTCCACAAGATATATGATTGAGATTTTTTAAAAAGCAGCATATAGCAAAGAATACATAAATATGCTATATCTTTTGTTCCAAAGGGATAAAGAAAATATACTCATGCATTTGTTGTTTTAAAAAGATAAATCATAATCCACAGTTCTTAGAAGATCAGCTGCCTATTTCAAAGGCTCCAAATAGCTTAGCAGTTTTATTTCTGTGATCTTTCCTTCTGGTTTGAGCAATCTGTGTAAGGTTAAATATATATTTTTTAAAGTATCATTTATTGATTGCCTGCTAGGGCTTTAAATTTGTCATTCACCTCTCTTTAAACCTCACAACAATTGCCAGAAAGATGGTGTTCTCTCCATGTTATTGATGAGAAAACAAACTCAGAGGTAGTAAGTAACTTGCTCAAGGCCACATGGCTAAGAAATTGCAAAGCCAGTATTTGAACTCATGTCTTTCTGGAACTAAAGTGTGTGTGCTTCCCGCTCAACCACACAGTGTGAGTATGCCTCACCTGCCTTTGGGGGCCTCATGTGAACTGATAACTGGCATTTTCACCTCTGGTTGTGCATCAGGGACTTTGCAGCTTCCTGAGGCTCAACCCAGATCTCTTGAATCTGACCCCATGAAATAGAGCTTTTGCACGTGGCTTTCTCAGAGCTCTTTGAGAGAGCCTGAAACACAGTTCAGAACCACTGCTACCCAGTGAAGCCATAACAGCACATACACTCGACATACGAACTCATTCAACCGTCAGCCACCTGTGTGGAGTAGGTACTGTTACTATAACCATTTCATGGATGCAGGAGCTCAGGCTTAGAGAGTTTGAATACTGTGCCCAGGTCACACAGCAATTAAAGTGAGCTGGGGCTGAAATTTAAGCCCAGATAGTCTGCCCCCTAGGACCGTGATTCATCATACTGTGTTTTTAGCCAACTACTCTGCGCATATACAGCAATTTCAATAATAAGACAAGAACCAGACACTAGGATATTGTCGTAGGAAGACTCTGTGTTCATGCAGGTTGAGGTCAAAGGCATCACAGGGGTCCCTTCAAGTCACTCAGGAGGAAACGGAAGCTCCAAGAGGCAAAGCGACTTGCTAGCATCCCATGCCCAACCCCAATAGTTTAAACACTCGCCCGAGTCTCCCCGGTTCCCACTAGGTCCATCGCTGCAAATCAAGTCATCATTGGGAATCATTCAGACCTAAGTTAGGAAAGATTACACTTGTTACAAAGAAATGGAGAAGAAAGGGCAACCGAGAATCCATTTGCCCTGGCTTTTAAATTCGTCTGATATGGATGGGTCTGTTTACAGATATTTTTATAGCAACATCCTTCTTCTGTTTCTCCTCTAAGTTTGATGGGAAGCTTACTGAGCATCGATACTGAGTTATTTTCCTTCATTGCTGCCACAAAACTACCCTTAATAAGAAGTGAAAGAAAGAAGAATGGAAGCTTACAGCGTCTCTGCTCTGTTTCTTCAAGAGAGCGCCATAATCAAAATGTAAAGGATTTAAAACACTTTTCTGGAGAAAATGCTTTCCTGTCACGAGTGGGAAGTGTTCCAGGTGCTTTATTGACTTGCATATTTGTCTCCCTTTTTAGCAGTTATTTTATCCTGGATGGAGGCCATCAGATGGCCACAATTTTGGAAGCAGCCCAGACTTGGATCTAATCCTGTTTCTGCTGCTTTTAAGCAGTGTGACCCAAAGCAGTTTCTTACCTTTTCTGAACCTCACTGTTAACTTCTCTACCATAGTGTTAAATAATATCTGCTAGACAGGTCTTTGAGGTGATTCAGGGAACCAAATGCAAAAGGACCCATGAAAATGGGTTGCTGGTCGGGCACAGTGGTTAAAGCTTGTAATCCCAGTGCTTTAGGAGGCCAAGTCGGAGGATTGCTTG